CAGGTCCCAGGGAGACCCGTGTGTCCCTGAACCCCAGGCTCGCCGCTGGGACCTGCCCCCCATCACCCTCCTTTTCCTAGGAAAAGAAAAGCTGTGGGAAATGAGCCCAATTCCCCGGGGCTGCAGGATGGTGCCCGGGGGGCAGGGAGGTGCTGGCAGGGCTGGGCAGGGCTCGGGGCCACGGCACCTTCCAGCTCTGCTCTGCCTCAACATCCTTTATGGCACCTCCTGGGAAATGCAGCAGGGAAGTGCAGCCCATCATGGGCCCAGCCCCTCCTGCCCCTCCCCACCGAGGGGGGACCCTGCCCTGAAACTCCAAGAGAAGGAGAAGGTGCAAGAAGGGACACCCCAGCTTTGGTCCCAGGGCTTGTCCTGATCCCAAATGGGAAGACAGAAACCAGAGTCATGGCCACAAACCCGTGCTGCTCCCTTTCCCCCCCAGCCACCTTCTCTACAGACCTCACTGAAGAAGCAACAGGTTTGCAAGGTCACTAGGCAGGGTGCTTGGCTGTGCCCCGGGCTGAAGAGCTCCCTGCTGCTTCCTCTCCCCTAGGCCCTGCTCAAGCCACTGTCTCCATCAAGATGACGAGCAAAACACCCAAGAGGACGTGGCACGATGGCCCTGGACTTGGCATCCTTTGGAGTTGCAGTTTCATCAGCTCTGGGAGGGCTGAATCCACCCCAGAGCCACACAGAGCAGCAGGAGCCACCCAGGCATGGTACTTGGTGCCTGGACTGGGCAACCTGGGCTAGTAATATGAAATAACATGTGGGTGAATTTGTTGTTGCTGCCCAATTTCACATTTTTCAGGCCTGGGAATGGCTACCAAACTTTCTGCCAAACCCACGAGCCGAGCAGTACAAGCCATTTCTAGGCACACCAAGCAGTTATGAATTATTAGAATTACTAGTATTTTTGCTGCTGCTGATGCCAAGTATCGACGTGCTACTATGCAGATGCTGCTGAGCCAGACAAAATAATCCTTTCCCAGGAAGATGAACAGCCCGTGTCCCCTAGGCCCCCTGTGATGGTGACAAGTGAGATCACCTCCATCCCAGGACCTCCAACCACCAGAAGCTGATTGACCACCTCTACTTGTATCTGGGACTTGCTTTGAAATCACGTTGGCATCAAAATCTCCCCGAGTCCCACTTACTACTATAGCACAGAAAATTAAGCCATTGTAATGGAGGCTGAAAACCTTGGGAGAAAATCTCATTAAGTATCATTCATTATAATTCATAAAAATGTCATTCAACCAACTGGTTTTCTCCAGGTCCTGTTGTGCAATCCCACTGCCCTGCAGCAATGCCCTGGGAGGGCACCAAGCAGCCCAGGAACTCAGCCAGGCACTTCATTCACTGCATCACTTGGGATTGCACGTCCAGAAGAGCAGCCCACCCAAACACCTGCCCAGTCCACCCTCCTCTTTATGACAGACACCAAAAAAGGATGCTTTGGGGAAAAAAACCCACTAAAATTAGAGGAGGTCAAGCCCCTGGGGACACAGCTTTGTGTGAAAGTGCCTGTGGAGCAGTTTGTCCTCCCCAAAGCTGTGGTGGCCCCGTTCGTTTTCAGCCTGTCCAGTCAGGGAGTCTGATTTTTTTTCCT